GAGAGCGTGGGGCTGGGGCTGAGCGGATGTGCCCTGGGCTCCTGGGGAGGGTCTGTGCGACGCAGGGTGCAAGCGCTGGGCTGGCGGCCCCTCCACATTCGTCATCCTGGAGCTATTCCTAAATGCGCCCCAGCGCAGACCGGGAAGCGGTGCCAGCCAGCTGGCTCTGTCCTGCCCACAGATCTTGCCTGCTCGTCCTATTTTCCTCTGCTGTCTTTGGCACCAGTTAAAGAACCTGCTCGGGTTTTGTTTGCCTTAACCCTCCCTGTGCTGCGCTGTTCCTGCTCTGCGGGGTCCCCTGCTTTGGGGCAAGCAATGCTCGGGCAATGCCTGCATCCCTTTCCCATCGGCTGGCTCTGGGTGATGTGTTCCAGGTCTGATTTGAGGCTCGAATCCCCCCAGCCCCTTCCCATCAGGTTTATATCTTTCCCTTCCTGACATCAGAAATGCCCACCTCATTGCCACCTCCCCGCTGCTGTTGGGTGCCTCTTCCTTCCCCTCCTCGGGACTGTGGGAGATTCCCAGCGCAGGTCCCCTGAGGATGCAGGTCCCTGCACGGGGCTCCCTGGCTGCTGCCACGCTGCTGGCCAGGCAGGGACCGGCCACGCTGCCAGCCAGTGCGGCATTGGGACTGCAGCCCTGTCATGCTCAGCTCCCCGGGTCCCACTCCACGGAAGGAGTGAGCAGGTCCCCTTCCGTCATCAGCTGTGGCTCAGGGCAGGATCCAGGCTGGGCAGTGGCGGGACAACCCCTCTACCTCCATTTGATCTTTCGCCTCTTATTCTGGACACCTCGTTTTGAGTCTGTACCAAATGAGGCTAAAATTAACTGCCTCAGAAGATGCCATAAATATTCTACCTACTGGGAAGGGAGTGAATGTGCAGCCTTTTACAGCTGTCTTTGAAAGCTGTGCGGTGTTTTATATTTAGCTTTCTATTTCCCGTGCGCTGCTGTGGCTCCGTCCTTAGATAAGGCGGCTTTGCTTGTCCTGCTCGCTGCAAGGCAGATCCCTGCTCGCCAGATCCCAAGGATCTGAGAGCTGGCAAGATGAGGAGCTGAGCTGTCTAAAGGCTTTTGCTGCCTTATGCAAACCCAGAGCTATCTTGGCCGCGATCTTTGAGGGCTGGAAAAAATGCCCGGCCTGCAGCCGTCCCTGGCTGAGAGCTGCATGCTCAGCCCGGAGCTGGTTGCGCTGTAGAGCGGTCCCTGCAAAAAATATGTTAAGCTTTTCCCTGAGACGGGCAGCGCTCCTGGAGCTTGCTGTGCTTGTTCCCTAGTGCTGACAGATCCCCCTGAAAAAGTGCTTTGACTCGAGGGGATTCCCGAAGAGCAGCTCTCGGTTTGGAGGTGGGTTTCAGACTGCTGTTTTTGGAGAACGGGCGGCGAGCACGGTTTCGGAAGGAGAGAGGTGTTTCAATGTGTTGAGTCGTCTCTGAGTCATGGTTTGTGAGGTGGAAGACCGGCTCCGCCGGGGGAAGTCGGTGCTATTCATTCCTGCCTCTACCATGCCCCTGCTTCCTTGGGCGGCCGTATCGGGGCCGTTTTCCCAATCCCCAAAATCCTTGCAAAGGGGCTTGCAGCTCATCTTGTGTCACTGGGGACCTTCCTGGTGTGGCAGAGCTGCTCAGAGAGGGGCACAAATCAGCTGCCAAGCTGTGATGTTGCTCCTAGGGCTCGGTTTGGCTGGGGTGGCCCAAATCTTTCAGGAATGGGGGAAAGGGGCAAGCCGCGAGCCTGACCCTGTGGATGGGTCAGAGCCCTTCACGGGGTCAGGAGGGATCTGTGTGCCGCTCTCGCGGCGGGGCCTGGTGTGGGCGTTGCTCCACTCCCTGCCATCTGGCTGGGCAGGGAAGTACCGGTCCTGCCGGCTCTGCCTGCCCACCCTGAGCCCCTGGGTCAGCGCCTTGTCCTCAACAGTTTTGCTGACCTCGGTTCGGTGATACTTTGCTTGGCTAATAAATAACTCGGCAGCCCTCTGCTCCCCTCGCTCTCCCCATCAGCCCTGGGGGAAGCGCTAGGTATCTCCCCCGGGGCAGGCGGCTCTGGGGCCACGTTATCAAGCACCCGCAGCATCGCCGCTGCCCGCGGCCGGGGTTGTCTCGCCTGCACAGAAGGGAGGGTGGGGGGCTGGGGGTGTCGGGGCACGGCATGTCTGGTTGCGGGCATGGTGCCCAGCAGTGGTGGAGTCAGTGGGTGCTGGGCCCATCCCAGGAGGAAGAGAAGCTGGGTGCTCCATCTGGGGTGGGGGAAGAGGTGCTGGCTGGAAGGGGACAGGTTGTGCAAACAGGAGAGCAATCTCACCAGCTGCTGATGCACTGGTGCAAGAGCTGTGTGGGTGGAGGAGGGTCTGGCCAGCCTGGGGCAGAGCTGGGTCGAGAGGTGCAGGCAGCTGCCTGCTCTGTGCCTCCCGCCACCCCTCTCTTCCCAGCCGGCTGCTCTTCCCTTCGGGCTGGACCCTTCCCACTGCCTGTTCGGCCGCTCTCAATGCCAGTCCAGGAGGGGTTTCCCAAAGCACCCACACCGGCTCCTTGCACCAGGTGACCCTCATCCCTGTGCAGCCTGGCACTGGCTGTGCCCCTGGACAGGGGGACCCTCTTTGGGCACCGCTGCCTGCCCTATGCCATGCGTGTCCCCAGCCCCTGGGCTTCCCTGTCTGCTCCTCAGCCCTGTGTGGCCGCTGGCTGTGCCGGAGCCACGTTTGAGGCGAAGCAGAGGATGCGGCGAGGGTGGCTGGTGACTCAGGGGTGCTGGCAGCGCCTGGCGTTGTTCTCTCCCAGAGCGTGGGGAGAGCCAGGACCAGCCTGAAATGCCCCTGTCCCAGGTGTCCCTGACCTGCGGTTCCCAAGGAGGGGCAGGCAGGTGGTTTTGGAGGGCACAGGCTCCAGCATGGCACGGGGCTGCTGTGGAGAGATGCTCTGCACCCCGGTCCTGCCCATCGCCCCCTCTCCCTGAGCTGGCTCCTGAGTCACGGGGTGAAAACAGGAGCCACAGCCCTTGCCTTGCTCCACGGATGATTCACCTCATCCCAGATCCTTGAGGCAGAGGTGTTTGTCAGTGCAAGCCCCAGTTTGGGGGCGCAGGGGTGTATGGATACAGCCCTTGGGCACCTCCATCCCCAAGAGAGGAGCCCCGGCGGGGGGGCTGTCTCAGTGCCCCGCTCCTGCGGGCCAAGGGGTGGCTGTGCTGTGGCCGGCTGCGTCCTCTGAAACAGGAACCAGGCCCTCGTTAGCAGTGCAGCTTGATGAGCGATGGCTTCCTGAATTGCAGCCCCTAACCCGATTAAGCCAGTGCTTTGGCAGCGCCTCTTCCCCCCCCAGGCCCAGATCTCATCCCTGGTCCTAATGAGGAAAAATCTCCTGTTTTCCAAAAGTCGTTGCAGGGGGGAGCTTGTCCAAGGGCAAGAGCAAAGGAGGCAGCGGCGAGGATGCCAGGAGGGTGGGGGTGAACCCCACAGCCCTTCCCTATCCCAGGTGGATTTTGTCCTGTGCTGGGTTCAGTGATAACCTTCCAGGAAGGAGCAGGTGAAAAGGACCTGTTTACTGGGAAAAAAAAAAAACCCCCCCTGCCGCTGGGCTGGGCGCTGCCTCCGTGCCGCCTTTAGCAGCAATGTGCTTGTGCTGGAACATTTTGCGTGGGGGAGAAACCTCAGGCTCCTGAGCTGTTTCCCCCCCCCCCCCCCTGCTCAAAAAACCCCCCCGGGGAGGGTTCTCAGAACCCCTGCCAGGGAAGGAACGGTTTGGCTGGGAGGAGGCTTTGCCCTTTCCGAGCAAACAAAGAACAGCTTGTGCAGCCGGGTGATGGTTTGGGGGAGCAGGCGCCGTGGAGCCAGGGCTGGTCCGGGACCCTCTTAAACACGCCGCCCCTGGGTCTCCAGCGCTCTGGACAGACTTATTTTCCCCTGACATCCACACCTGGCAGCTGGGGGTGGCTGGGCGCGCCTGCGTGCTGCGGGGCTGGAAGGCTCCCTGGCAAAAGCCCTGTTGCTTCAAGGCTGAGGTTTTTGTTAGCCCCTGGCTGTTTCTGCGCGGCGGCATTTCTGGTCTGTGTGAACATCCAGCCCCCCTTTTTCCCAGCTCCCTGAGCGGGATGATCTCAGGTGGAGGAAGAGGCTGCAGCACTTTAGTTTTGCGGCTCCGCTCTCATCGCTGGCTGCGTTTGCCGGTGTCTTCCAGACACTACTGTTACCCCGTCCTGCTACGGGGCTGGGCTGTCCCTTCGCTGTGTGGTGTGTTCCTGGGGATGAGGGTAATAAAAGGAAATCCCGTTGCCTTAAACATTTTTATTACGATAGGATCCACCCTGGCAAATTAGCGACCTTAACCTCAGAGCTGGGGGATTAAAGAGAAGCAATTGCAAAGGGAAACAGGGCTGGTTTTGGTGTGGGAACGCATCCATCCCCCGTACAGTGCCTAGCACAGCACGTCCCAGCCTGCCCTGGCTGCGCTTGCTGCCACAAGTGTTTTTCAGCCTCGTGCACGTCACTTCAGTTGTCTGAATCCCATTAACACTTAAACTTGGGAGCTCAGCAGAAGTGAGAGCCTTTCCCGGCTCAGCAGAGGCATGTGAAGAGCGTGTCGGGGTGGGGCACGCCGAGCTGCTGCCAGCTCCTTATTTTGCTAAATTCGTGCCCTTTGGGAGCAGCAGTTTCCTTCCCTGCTGCTGGCAGACAGGACAGGAGGAAGCCACTGGAGCTCTCCCCCTGGTCCTGGCC